ATAATAATATATTACTATGAAAAGTAACTAATAATATATCAAAATAATAATTAAAACGAGGTGAAGGACAATGAGAGTCAATTCGTAAGTAAACAAGAAAGCGATTATAACATAAAAATTATAATATGAATTTTTAAAGAAAAAGAATACAATATAATACTTAGCCGCTTTAAAATTAGAATATCGGTCAATATATAATAATATAAAAAAATCGTCCGATGTAAAATGTCGTAACAAGTTTCGACTCTTCGTTTGAGTCCTCTTCAGACGTTCAACAAAAATTCCTTAATCCAATATAATTGAGACAACACATTTCTCACTGACTCCTCGATTTCCCTCTTCGTTACACAACATTGACAATACAAGATGGCAAAGTCGTATTGAAACAATGTATCTGTAACTTGGCATGAGAACAAAATCAAAAGATGTGAAAATAATGAAATTCAACAAAAATGTCTTACTCACCAGCGAAAACGATTTGTCAGTTTATAATATGAAAGTTAAATAAAATAAAAGAAGTCATAGAGTAAAATGAACAAAAAAGTAATAATACAAAACATTTTCACAAAACTTATTGTATAAAATATAAAACGAATGCAAGGATTAAGTGTACTAAGTCGTTTAACTATCTTGCAAAGTGAAAGTCTTATACTGTGATATAACAACAAAACTGCTTAGTTTTGTTGGGAAGTATCACAACTGTCCGACTCCGATTTGATTCTCCATGAAATATGTTGTTAAGCATGAAAATCTAAGAGACACGTATTTTTTTATACGTGCCCTAACTCATGTTTAAGGACGTTCACCGGCTAATCGATTTCTATACAAAATGCTTCAAATTTTAACTACATGATATTAATATCATTATCGATATATCCTCCAAAATTCAGAAAATTTAGCGGTACCGAATTCGAGTTATTAATTTTCAAAGTTGCAGCTTTTAACATGTAAGGTATAGCCCAAGCGTGCGCTCAAGTGACATTTCAATTCATAGCGACTGTGATATCTATACGATTGTTCTAAAAAATTAGGATATGATGCAGGACGATGCTAGAAATAACATGAAAAAAAACGGGGATCCGTAGCGGTGCCGTTTTTGAGTTATCGAAATTCGAAGTGGTGTATCCGACAGTACTTGAAGTAAGTCGCCGCATGGAAGGAGAGCCGTTGCTATGAGACGGGTCTCAACAGGCTAGTGTGCGTGTATACATACAAGGCATCGAACCCCGTTTGCTTGTCCGTGAGTACACTCAGCAGAAAAAGTATTGGCATGGGAAGCGGAGTGGGGAGAGACATGCGCTATGCACCGAGAAGCGAGCGAGCAGTAAACTTTTGGCTACGATTGTAGCCGGTGAACGTCCTTAAGGGGTAAAACACCCCTTTGAAAAAAAACGGTATTTTTCTTTCGAGGCGAATATCGTCGGAAGTATAAAAGATATAAAAAATTTTTTTAAACAAAAGTTGTACGGTTTCAAGAGTACTTTAAAAATGTAAAGAAAAAAAATTTTTTTAATTTTTTTGTTTAACAAAGTACCCCCACCACCCATAATTTTTTTAAATTTTCATATTTTTTCTTTACCAAATTAAAGATTATTTTTTTACGAATTCAACCATGTGTAATAAAGTTATATTACAACATACCATTTTCGAGAAATAATTATTAATGCTTCCGTATACACGTTATCCATGTTCATATGCGTATAAGTAATTGTCGTCGAAACAATAAGATACATGAAAAGATAGTTTAAGTAAAATTTTCATAGTTTTCTATATGGTTTATGAATGTATATATGTATTTAGATTTTCTGAATATGTATTATTCTTAAAATATATAGTATATTAACCCTGTTATTATTTGTTCGACATAAATTCTTCCATGAATAAAAATTAAAAACAATTTTATTTCAAGTACATCCTCTTATAATACAATTATTGATATTATTTTTTTTTATTATTAATATTATTTTTTCAATTATTTTTTTGGTAAAAATGTAGATTAGGGGAGCCTCCTCCAATGACCTTGACCTTTACATATTTTATTTTTTATTTATTATTTTTTATTATTATTATTATTTATTATTTGCTCGTCTTTTATAAGAACTGTCAAAGTCTGCATTATCATTTGAACATTGAGGATGAGAATTAAAATTATTTTCACTTTATGCTTCTTTGTCATCTTCAATTATTTCAGAATTATGTGGTTTATTCACTATAATAGGTTGGAAGTAACAGAAGAAACCTGTCTCGATAATCAAGAACCTTATAAACATAATTCTGAAATAATTGAAGATGACGAAGAAGCTCGTGTTGCTCGCGTCTTGTTAAAACTACAATCACCGAATTATTCTATTAATCTCGTATATTAGTCAGTTCGTATATTTTCATTGTCATATGCTTATAATATCTGCATAATCTCTGTATTTGAATCAAATGATAACGCAGACTTTGACAGTTCTTATAAAAGACGAGCAAATAATAAATAATAATAAAAAAATCATTGTCCTTTACCTTGTTTTAATTATTATTTTCATATAAAGAGTCCTTCAACTTTAATTTTAAAAGAAAAAATAATATCAATAATTGTATTATAAGAGGATGGACTTGAAATAAAATTGTTTTTAATTTTTATTCATGAAAGAATTTATGTCGAACATATAATAACAGGGTTAATATACTATATATTTTAAGAATATTACATATTCAAAAAATCTCAATACATGTATACATTCATAAAGCATATAGAAAACTATGAAAATTTTACTTAAACTATCTTTTCATGTATCTTATTTTTCTACGATTGTACTGTTGCTATGATAGTACTGTCGGGGCAGACCTCTGTGACGGTGTGGATGCGGGGGGGTGGCCCTATAATTGAAAAAATAATATTAATAATAAAAAAAAATTTTTGAATTCGTAAAAAAATAATCTATAATTTGGTAAAGAAAAAATATGAAAATTTAAAAAAATTATGGGTGGTGGGGGTACTTTGTTAAACAAAAAAAATTAAAAAAATTGTTTTTCTTTGTATTTTTAAAGTACTCTTAAAACTGTACAACTTTTGTTTAAAAAATTTTTTTATATATTTTATACTTCCGACGATATTCGCCTCGAAAGAAAAATACCGTTTTTTTTTCAAAGGGGTGTTTTACCCCTTAAACATGAGTTAGGGCACGTATAAAAAAATACGTGTCCCTTAGATTTTCGTGCTTAACAACATATTTCATGGAGAATCAAATCGGAGTCCGACAGTTGTAATACTTCCCTTCACTTAATCCTTGCATTCGTTTTATATTTTATACAATAAGTTTTGTGAAAATGTTTTGTATTATTACTTTTTTGTTCATTTTGCTCTATGACTTCTTTTATTTTATTTAACTTTCATATTGTAAACTGACAAATCGTTTTCGCTGGTGAGTAAGACATTTTTGTTGAATTTCATTATTTTCACATCTTTTGATTTTGTTCTCATGCCAAGTTACAGATACATTGTTTCAATACAACTTTGCCATCTTGTATTGTCAATGTTGTGTAACGAAGAGGGAAATCGAGGAGTCAGTGAGAAATGTGTTGTCTCAATTATATTGGATTAAGGAATTTTTGTTGAACGTCTGAAGAGGACTCAAACCAAGAGTTGAAACTTGTTACGACATTTTACATCGAGCGATTTTTTTATATTATTATATATTGACCGATATTCTAATTTTAAAGCGGCTAAGTATTATATTGTATTCTTTTTTTTTAAAAATTCATATTATAATTTTTATGTTATAATCGCTTTCTTGTTTACTTACGAATTGACTCTCATTGTCCTTCACCTCGTTTTAATTATTATTTTCATATAAAGAGTCCTTCAACTTTAACTTTATTTGAATAATATATCAATTACTTTTCATGGTAATATATTATTATTATTATTATAGATAAAAAGGTTTAAATTTTTGAGAACCTTTTTTTGAACATGGTTTGAACTTTTTATTTTTATGATATGATCTTTTCGGATATGTAAATAGGTATAGATAATAAATATTGTTTTTAGAATTGATATGCAGAATGTTATGATAAAGTACATAAGGAAAAGATGAACAGTGGAAAGTAAAAGTTGCTAACTTCAGCATGGAATAACGAGTGAAATCGAGACAAATATACGAAATTAATGAGCAAGAAGAGATAGAACTGTTCGTCTCCCTCCCCCCCCCTCTCTCTCTCTGTCGTATCGGGACTTACATTCAGTCTCCTCGTGACTGCTCGTGACGTTTGTGTGTAGCAATCGCGCCGCTGAGTGTTGTCGCAATCTTGTTATCCATCGGTTCTGCGTGGCATATTCGTCTTAAGTGTCTACAGTGAGATTATAAACGTAAAACTTAACCTTTAATGTAAGTCTACAACCTTGCTTTGTAAGGGGCTGTAAACTATAAGCCGAAAGATATTAATTGATTAATTTCTATTTCTAGTTGTAGTAGTAGTAGTAGTTTATTTGATATGCTTTCGCAACTAAATATATTACATATTGACTTCCTTACACTTCTAATTTACATTGTATTTTATGTATTTACTTCTTTACCTGTCTCCTCATTATTTGTATTTTATGTATTTACTTCTTTACCTGTCTACCCATTATCTATTTCTCTCGCTCTCGTTCCCGCTCTCTCTCTCTCTCTCTCTCTCTTCCATTCTTTCCCTTCTTATCTTTTGTACCTTAGCCATCCATTCATACCCTCTTCCATCCTCATTCAACACATCTATTCTTTGATCGCACCCCCCCTAATTTCTATTTCTATATATAAATTATTGTTACATGATTTTTAAACTGTAACTGTCAGACATAAGCAAATTGAGCAAAACCCAATTCTTACGGTCTAAAGTATAATTCTCTGGCCGATGTCTAATCGTTTAACGCTTTTGACTTACAGTTTCTTAAAACAAGGTTGTGGACCTGGACTTAAGCCTAAAGCCATAAAAATTTTACAAAATCATATAGTTGCATTCTCTTTTCCACATTTGATTGTAATTGGTCAATTTTTAACGTAATTTTTACGACTTAAGATTTAAAATTTAAGTTTTACTTCTTAAAATCTCATTGCCGTTGTACGTACTTTAAAGTAATTTGTGAGATATCTGCAGTAAACAAGTGTGTTGTGCATGCTTGTGTGCGCGAGCGCCCTTCTTTTTCGCTGTACGTATTCTCGTCTCATGTTGTCTCGATTGGTCATCATTGATAAGGGACAAGTAGAATTTTCAGTTTAGTTTAGCAGCAGCAGTAGCAGTAGGTGCAACAGCAACGGTATAATAGCAGCATGCCGAATACGAGAGTACGTGTACTTGTGCAAAGAGGATATTGTAATTTCGTATTTAAAATCCAACGTTGGACAGTGCCGAATTAAATACAAGGAAAAGAACTCTCTTTGTTTTAATTTTTTCAGATATTATCTCTGTTGATATATGCAGGATATTTCTGCTCGGAAAAAGAGTATTAAATCTGACCAGATTAAATTATATTTCGTCAGATTAAATTATATGATATATGGCCATAGATATGCTCAGATGTAAACTTTACATATCTGTGCAAATCTGACTATACAGGATGTTTAGCGTAATAATCTGCACGATTTTTTAGACTCTTCCGACAATTAAAGAAAAAGGTTGAAAGGTGATTATCCATCTATTTCATACGGGCTATTTTATACAGCATGCGATAAAAAAAATAAAAATAACATAAAAAAGTAAAAAAAAATTTTTTTAATTAAAAATGTTAAGGTCATCTTAAATTTTTTAAATAGCACTATACAATTTTTTTCTATATATTGTAGGGATCTTCAAGACGAATGCACTATCGAGATTGCTACTTTTATTGATGTTTTATTGATTTTATTGATATACATAGATCCATAATATTTATCACAAATACTCATTAATAAAGGAATACTTGTATGAACTTATTAACTTATGTGAAAAAATTTTATTGATTTTATTGATATTTAATGTGTTGTAAGTACATTATATGGACCAGTCCGATGGCCGGCACTTTTTCCGGATTCATCTCTGATGGATTTTTTTTATAGGGACATCTGAAATCTTTTGTATATCAAACATCAATAAATAATATTCAAGATCTTCGAGAAAGAATAATTATGGCTTGTGCAATTTTGAATCAAAATAGTATAATAGATGTTTCGCATAGTAATTTATTAAAAAGAGCACAACTTTGTGTTGCAGAAGAAGGCAAGCAATTTGAATATTTGCTTACACAACACATCACTCAATAAGTCTCGGGCCTGACATAATAGATGGCGCACTAATAACAAATCCATATGATTTTTAGAAAGTACTAAACCTTCAAACATACGTGTCAAAATTTTAGCTCATTCGGATCTTTACTTTACAAGTTACAGTGGTTTAAGTGACGCTACTTTTGTATTTTTCAAAACAATGCAATGAAAAAATCTGAATTTTGTGTGTTGATAAAGCATTGCTTCCTGATGGGAACAAATACCGTTCAAGCAAAGCAATGGCTTGATAAGTGTTATTTGGACTCTGCTCTGTCGGAAACAATAGTTAAGAGGTGGTATGCTGACTTTAAACGCGGTCGTAAAAGCACAAATGATGCTGAACGCTCTGATCGTCCAAATTCGACAAAAGTAGCGTCACTTAAACCACTGTAACTTGTAAAGTAAAGGTTTGATTGAGCTAAAATATTGACACGTATGTTTGAAGGTTTAGTACTTTCTAAAAATCACATGAATTCGTTATTAATGCGCCATATATTATGTCAGGCCCAGGACTTATTGAGTGATGTGTTAAGTTACACTATCTTTTTTATAAATTTATGTTTATAATGCTGCAAATTTGATATCAAATATCAATAAAATCAATAAAATTTGTTCATATAAGTTAATAAATTCACACAAGTATTCCTTTATTAATGAATATTTGTGATAAATATTATGAGTTTATGTGTGTGTGTATGTGTGTATCAATAAAACATCAATAAAAGTGGCAATCTCGATAGTGCGTTGAATTCGTTTTGAAGATCCCTACAATATTATACAAAAAAATTGTATGGTGTTATTCAAAATATTCATGATGACTTTAATTTTTTATTAAACAAATTTTTGTTTATATTTTTTATCGAATGTTGTAGCCTGTATGAAATAGATGGATAATCACCTTTCAATCTTTTTTTAATTATCTGAAGTGTATGAAAAATCAATGGACCGTTACGCTGAACACATTGTATATGTTCATATATAATCATATGTAGGAGGCGTAATCTAATCTTCGATATCTCATATCTGCTTAGATCTACTTGTTAGATATGATCATATACGTTCATATAAATTTTATATGGAGTGTACTAGTGCACATCATCTATTGATCTAGTTTATTGCATTTATAAGTGTATTAACATCCAGTGTTGTGGATTATCAAAGTAGCAGTTCAGCATCGAAGTATGATTTCCTAGAGATTAAACAGCGCTGTGATGTACAGCTTAAGATTATGGTAACTGCTTGAGGGTACCATAAAATTGTTTTTTAAATTCAAACGGAAAAACGTTTTAATTTTTAATTATAATTTTGTTGAATGTAAATATTGTAGAATATGATGTTAATGAATAATACTTTTTTTTTTAGTAATAAAATTGTATTAATGAAAAATTTTTTACTGAGGTTAGATCTGTCCAAATCGTTATGTCAATAATTATAACTAACTTAAATGTTACAATATATTAAATTTACATGCTGATTCTAATCGATTCTTTTCTTTCTATCACGATTTTAATTAAATGCCCATTTTTACATAGATTAGTTAATTCTTAGAACTAGAAAAAGATGGGAGAAACAAGCATTTGTTTCTTCTGTTACACAACGTTGCATGCCTTGATTTCCAAATCATCAAAGAAGAGGAGAAGGCGGTTAACCTTGTGTACAAGCAGGTTATCATTTTCATTGCATTAGTAAATACGCGATACTCACTCAACTTTTGCATTGGTCGTTTATTATTTTTTTTATATTACAGATTTTTGAGTGTCTTACGTAAATCATTACACGTGTACTACATGTATGGCTAAAATAGCAAAGTCCAACTCGTAATACATGAGCAGGACAATGAGTTATAGATGAAATTTAAGAAAACAAGCTTTTTAAATTTTCGAGTAAATTTGTTTAATTCTTGTAATCTTATCGCTGGTTTATATGATTATTATACTGCAGACAATAATTTCGACTTTTAATATGTATACATATAATATAGTTGTTACTTTTCGAGAATAATTAATATCAAAACATGATTTTTAATTTTTTTACTGTTTGATACTAAATATGAAATATTTTGCTATATTAATATTATTATTTTTTATTATTGAAAAGAACGTTATTGGTAACAAGTTACTTTTACTCGTTACTTATAACGAATAAAACAACGTACCTATGCATTACAAGTAACGAGTTATATTTCATTCAAGGCCGGTTTAAGGGGGGGGGGCTAAGGGGGCTATAGCCCCGGGCCCCGTTTTTTTAGGGGGCCCCTTAACTTAAAATTGTATTTATTGATGAAATTAAATAATAAAATACAAATAAATACTTAAAACTATTACAATTAATTTTGCATTCCTCGTGCAATGAAACATAGACAATATTCAATAAAAGAAAGTACAATGAGGAATATAAATTAGCTTGTCTAGCTTGTAGAAATTTAAATTAAATTAATGATTTAATCAATGAATTTGCGTGCACTGAATCAAGAAAAAAAATTTTGTAAGTGCTACAACTTTAATAAAATATGAATTATCTTCATGTATTTATTTTTCAACATCCAGAACTTACTTGTATCTTTTAAGCAGAATTAAAACGGCTCAAACTACAAAAGTCATATGAACAATCATGTTTCTTAAATAGGAATTGCAAAATATATATAATAATAAATAAATAAGGTAAAGGATTCTTATTATAAAACATAAAATAATAGACTAAAAAGACAAATTAAGAATCAAAATTTGACAAGTTTGACTCTTAATTTGTCTTTTTAGTCTATTAAAATATATATAATTTGTATTTTGCATTTAATTTATTGTTATTCAATATCTATTATTCAATAAATAATTTCTATTGAAAATAGGTATTTATTATCTATACTATTATAAAACAATTCTTATGAATGAAGGCGACCCCATTTTAACATCAGCCCCTGGGCCACAAATACCTTAAGCCGGCTCTGATTTCATCTAATAAATAACAGTAATAATGATAAGTTACTTTTTAAATTGAAAAATATTTTAACAATATGAGATCTTCTTCAACGGACTCTTATGGTTCAAAAATAATACATTCTTCAAGGGCGAATGCGAGTGCAGCGTTGCTCTTAATATGCAATAAATAATAACTCTTATTATTGAATTAAAATATCATTTATTCAATAATGGATCCTAATATATACGTTTCGACTCATATCGAGTCATCTTCAGTACATTTCCAAAATAAAATATATTAAAATAATATTTGTGAGACACATCACATCAAATTGGCAGAAAAGATGTTATAATCTCACAAATCACAGTAAATCTCAATCATTGAATAAAGTTGTAGAAAAAAAAAAATTATAGAATATCAAATTTTTCATTTTAGTATAAAACGAACCTGACGATGTCCTGTCATTGTAACGACATTTTTAAATTGATATTCCTACTCTTAATATTTAATTAATTATCGTTATAGTAAAAAAAAATTGCAAGATCATTATCAAATCCTTATTGTAAAAACTTAAAAAGTAACGGTATTACAAGTATTATAATTTGCGTACCTTCTACCCCGTATACAAATATGCATCTGTGCGTAAAATTTGGACCGCGCGCAGTCCAAATGTCGCTCGAACATCGTGCGGCATTTGGACCGCGCGCGGTGAGGTGAGGAGGACAGCAAAAGGCGGAGGCGATTTGAAAATCGGTAGAAAGTTGCATACACTTTATGTATGTTCACTTTTTACTGGTACCTTTATTAATAATATATCAATTACTTTTCATGGTAATATATTATCATTTCAATCATTTATTCTACCTATCAAAATTCTTTTGAGAGCAGGCCGCCATGTTTTTTTTCCGAGTCATTAACAGATTGGTACTCTGGAATTACAAGCAATTATTCTTCATTGTACGGGCTAGTATAACAACTTTTATATTTTGTGCACTAAGCATAACATATCGCAGTTATTTTCTAGAAAATTGTAATCTGCAAATTGCAATGCTTTACTTATATATATGTATGTATGTTCATTTTGATTATTGAATTTGGATAATATACACTCTTTTTATATGTTCACT